CTGGCACCTGGGGCCCGGGCTTCCCTCGCAGGTCGTCCAGTCTAATTAGCATATTACGCTTTTATTATTATAGATTACGTGCGGGCTGAGAGAAAACTGTATTTCAAATTCTGGGCCCCAATATGGAGGAAGTTTCCCTATTTATATCTTTTTTACCTTCTTTGTCTCCCAAATATGGGGTCTTCCGGTCCCCTTTGCAAATTCTTAATTAAAGAGCCCTATGTGCTGGGGCTTTGAGACCTCAACCAGAGGCCTGGCCTGGCGCCAGCACTGATAACTTCGTCTGGGGAAGGTTTATGGCCTCTCTGGAATGGGAGTAGTCTTATTTTCATTATTATTTTAGCCAGCAGGCATTTACAGGAGCCACAATAGCAGGGTTAAAAACTCAAACAGCAGTTTTTATATAAGATGGATGCTTCATTCCCCACTGGTTTTATGTACATGAGTCAAATCATTGACTCTTGGCGGTTGTTAACATTGTTAACCTACTCAGCTTTGAGGTTTCCTTTACCAAGTCCTATAAAGAGAATTAATAATACGGTGCATGTGAAAGTTTTATCTTTAGAGAATCCTTTTGTCTGTGCTGCCTTAAGCCACAGTGGGATCCCGTCGACCTTGACTGCCGTGGGGTGGTCCTTTCCAGGTAGGAGTCAGTCCCCATGTAGTAAATTTCTTTACCCAAACAGAGTCACCAGGTTGGAAATTTAAAATGTGTCTATATTCAAATAGTCACAGCTGTCCTGCAGTAGGGTGCCCCGTACTTGGCTTGTCCTTAAACTACCTGTGGCCTCTGGGGGGGGTGACATGGCCTCTCAGAATGGATAAGGGAGTAGCGCTTCCACATGAGCTTTATCCCTTTGCAGGGTCTCACATGTCACAGGACCTCACAGGGTCTGTAATTCCCGCGACAGAGGGCTGGTACTCACCACTTCCCCTGTTCTATACAGGCCTCCCCCAGGCTCCTAAAGTTGAGGTTTGTGCCACCCCTGACATGGGCATGGTCACACAGGCCTGCAAGGCAGTACACAGGCTGCCAGTTGTCTTTCAATAGAGACCAAAACCTGATGGGTATCTTTCTTTGCCTATTTGGGCACCTGCCCTTTTGGCAACTGCATTCAAGAATTAAAGGTTAATATAACATGTTTATATAATGAAGTACAATATTGGCACTGTGGCCACTTCAGGCAGCCAAATTTTGTGCTACCAAACATGACACCTGGTAGGGCTATACAAACATCGCAGGGAGGTGACGGAAGTCCATTTTTGACCTTCTCATACGAGCAAAACTGTCCTTGTCTCTCTGGAGTCATGTCCATGAAGACGCAGGCATTAATAAGTCTATTATACAGTTTTCTGCAGGCCACTGTCAGGGCTGTACGTGGCAGCCAGTTCTTCTTTCCAGCCACAAACACAGTCTGTCCAATTTCCCTAAAATGTATTCTGGCACGAGAAAAAGTTGTTTTGCTGCACACAGGCAGCTTAACCCCTATACACCTGGGCTTGGACCTCTGCCTAGCAAACTGCAGTCTGTAAGTTCAATATGCAGCCTCTGGTCCTCCTAACCCAATGGGTTCTCCGCCCGTCCCTTAGTCAGACTCCTCCTCTCTAGGAGAGTCTGAAAGTCCTGAAGGCTCTCTGGTACATGGAAAGTGCCTTCCCTTTACCCTCTCCTGTTAACCCTGTTTATCAGTTACAGGGCCTTGCCATCCCTGTCTCTCACCACTGCTTGGTTCCCAGTGGTGAGCTAAATACATCTGGGGCTGCAGGGAGAGACAGGTTTGCACATAGCAAAGCGCTCCTGCAGTGGTAGCTTGGGCTTCAGGCTCTACTATGCTGCCCATTCTCTTTCCTGGCAGAGACCGTGGCCTTCTCTGTGGGCTCCCTTGCTGGAATGGGGCATCTAGCCCCCTCCCTCCCGCCCACCTACCTGTCCCCTTTCAGCACATTTACAAATGGGAAACTTTATCAGCTTCATCCCTGGCCACTTTCACAGATTCCAGGGCCCGTTGCTTGTCCCCTTTCCTATTGTGAGTCAGAGGAAGACAATTCCTACAGAGGGAGAAATAGAAACAGTGGGAGTTTCAGAGAAAACTACAGACTATGCTGTAGCAGTCCTCCCTCCCGGAGGCTGGGGTCCGACCTGTGGAGAAAAATGACTCTTAGTCGGCCTGGAAAAGAAGGCAGAGGATGACAATGGTGTGCAGGGAAATTTCTTGTGGACTGAAAGCCTGGAGGGCCTTCTGAAAGAAAAGATCTTTAATCCAGTTACACATGCTGTCAGGATCAGGAGTGAGGGAGGAAGGGAAAGACCAGGTTATGTCCTCTGTGAGGATCCTAATAAATAACTGAAAACAGCAAGCCAAACAAGACATACAAGATATATAACCAGGGCAGACGGGGTTCATGAGTAGATGATTATGATAACATTAGTTGGATTTCTTTTTAACATTTCTCTTTTCCTTTATATCGTATACATAACCTTTACAAATTTCATACTTTCAAATTAGCCTTTAAACCTTCTTTCTGTCCTTTAAAAATGCATAACCATGCCTTGGACCTTCTGTGATAAAACTAAGAGCAGGTAAATTAAAACTTGTCTAGTGAAAACTGCTATATTTTTCCATATGTAAATTCAAGTATACTGTATCGGTATAATTTAGTATTGGAAGGGTTAAAGAGAATAAAACGGGGCAGAGAAAGATTTACTGCGCCTGCAGAAAACTTGCAACCTTGAGTCTAGTGCAGTTCAGATAAGACACCTGGTAGGCTATGGACCAGACCCCTACGCCAGCAGAGCAGTCTGCAACCAGTAAAATCAACAAAAACCTATCTCTCACTGCTTCATAATTAACTGCTGATACCCCTCTCCCCCTCTTTCTACATTAACCATTTACTCTGTCCTGAAACAAGGCAAATGGTCTGAGATCCTGTATATTTAGGCTTTTTACATTTAAGGATACATTTTTTCTTCTTCCTGTAACAGTTGCTTTCCCTCACAGATTTTTCCTCTTTACTCTAAGCCCCTAGAGCAGTGGTTCTCAACCTTCCTCATGCTGCGACCCTTTAATACAGTTCCTCATGTTGTGGTGACCCCCAACCATAAAATTATTTTCGTTGCTACTTCATAACTGTAATTTTGCTACTGTTATGAATCGTAATGTAAATATCTGATATGCAGGGTGTATTTTCATTGTTATAAATTGAACATAATTAAAGCATAGTGATTCATCACAAAAACAATATGTAATATATAAGTGTTTTCCGATGGTCTTAGGCGACCCCTGTGAAAGGGTCATTCGACCCCCAAAGGGGTTGGGACCCACAGGTTGAGAGCCGCTGCCCTAGAGGATCTTAAATCCTCCTCCTTTACTACTCTTGATCTCTCCAACCATCTCCCTGCCCCCCAGCCCAGGGCTCCTCTAGCTCAGCAGGAGAGCCTACCACCCTACCCAGCGAATCCCACTGCCCCCACCCACCCCACACCCGCTCCGGAGCAGCTAATTATGAAAAGTCTGGCAGTCTTTCTCTCTTGCCCTAAACAGGCCATGAGAAAATGTACTAATCTTAACCTAACAAGCCTTAGCAGGGGAGAAAAGGGTAGTGGTCTAGCCTTTGTTTAAACTTCTCTGGGCTACACCCTTCACAAATTTATACCTTTAACCCCAGAATTCCAAAATTTCAACCTAATACAGCAAAATCACAGATCAGGGAGGGAAGAGCAGACCAAAGCCCCTAGTACATAAACATAGACAGAAATTTAAGCGGGCTGATTCCCTCCTTGATGGAGAGCAAAAGACTGAGAAAAAGAACTCTCAGCAGCTAGAGACTTTTGCAGTTCGTCACAGCGTTCAGCCTTACTATACACAATTACGCTTCCCCTAAAGCGGGGTTTGCCCTATCTTTAAACAAACTAAACAGCAGGAAGAGATAACAAATACTCTCGTGTGTACAGCCAGATGGCACAAAGTAGCTTTCACTTCACACAGACTCTCACACATTTATACACCAGACAATCCGAGTTTTTGACTTCTACCAGATATTTACTCAGAGTTTAAACAGTCCACTTGATTCCTGATTAATTGCCTGAGGAAGCCATATGGCTTCTGGGGAGGTGATCAAGCTCCCCCTTCTACTCACTTGGAGTGGGCCTGTCTGACTGGGGCCCCTGCCTTACCGATTCTGTCGACAGGTTCAGAAGCGTCCTTCCACTCTTTCCTGATGCCAGCCGGGTCCTGGGCTGAGGTCCGGGCGCCCAGAGTCCCCCAGTTCAATTTTGCTAAATCAGCAGAGCGGTGCCTCCCGGAGGCCTATCCGGTGCCCCCCGGACCCCAAACCCGTACGCTCACTGGAGGCCAAAAAGGCCAAGCGCGGTTGATTTCCCAGTGTTTCAGGGAACCATTAACGTCACAGAAGACCGGAGAAGAACCAAGCAACGCTTAGAGAGATGGAGTTACACTTTATTATTATTATTATTACACCGGGCCTCGAGAAAACTGTATTTCACATTCTGGGCCCCAACATGGAGCAAGTTTCCCTACTTATATCTTTTTTACCTTCTTTGTCTCCCAAATATGGGGGTTTCCGGTCCCTTTTGCAAGTTCTTAAACAGCCCTTTGTGCTGGGGCTTTGAGACCTCAACCAGAGGCCTGGCCCGGCGCCAGCACTGATAACTTCGTCTGGGGAAGGTTTATGGCCTCTCTGGAATGGGAGTAGTCTTATTTTCCTTATTATTTAAGCCAGCAGGCATTTACAGGAGCCACAATAGCAGGGTTAAAAACTCAAACAGCAGTTTTTATATAAGATGGATGCTCCAATAGCACCATTGACCCCGTAGACTGCCCAAGGGACATCCATGTGACAGCACCCAGAGTTCTTGGGCTGATTCACTGAGAGGAACCTCTGGGAGGGGCAGTGCTGAAGGAACAGGGCACACGCTGGTTACACCCCATCGTGGAGCCTCATATTCTATCAGCACAAGAACCCTCTTTAGGAAACAAAACAAAACAAAAACCGCTTTAGTGCCTGGCGGAGTTGATGTTCAACGAATGTTTGTGAAATGAATAATGACCCTTACTTGATTAATAAGTGTAAGCTTGGAATGATCACCAATGCTCTTGGCATTGAACACACTCCCCTTACTCTGGGATCCTGGCCCTGTTCCCCTCAGTCGTGTCTGTACAAGATTTCACATCAGGCCCTGCACCCACATTTCTGGGCTCCTGGGCTGCACAGCCTGAACTCTCACAGAGCGTGGGCCAGGGTGAGGAGCCAAAAGGGGCCTTGCCTCATGCTTGGCTGCGGAGTAAGGAGACAGGTGGGACAGGGTCCTCCCCAACCCCCAGCCCCAGGCTGCAATTCCCAGGGTCTTGCCCTCAGGAAGTCCTCCTCCTCTGGGAAGCCCTCCCAGATTTCTTCCTCCCCTAAACCTGCCAAATTGCCTCCTCCCAGAGAAGACATGAATGAAAACACTTCCCATTGGCTTGTGCCATTTAAGTTCTCCTTTAATGGTCCTAGGTGTTCTGCATCTCAAATGTCCAGATCGGGGAGACGCAGCCTTTCCCTCCGATCGGCCTCAGTGGAAGGAGGGAGCGCCCCCACCCCCAGGAAGCTCGGGTCCAGGAGGAGGCAGGTCGCGGTGTCCTCCGAGGCGGGAGGTCTGCATACTGAAGGCGGGTCCTGAGCGCTGGGCGCTGGGTGGGCAGAGAGCCTCCCCTCCTCCCGGACTGGGCTCCCGCCTGGGTCGGGACCCGGAGGGCGGGGCAAAGGTCTGAGCCCTCGGCCTCTCCCGGCGGCCGTTGCAGTCGGTGGCGGCAGAGGCTCCCTTACCCGCCGAGGCTGCGCTGCGGGCCGGCGGCCGGGGCGGGGAGCTCGGCGTCCAGCGGGCGGGCGGCGGCCGGTCCCCCGCGGCGGGCGGGGCGCGCAGGCGGCTGCAGGTCAGGAGCACGTCGAACAGCAGCAGCTTGAAGAGCAGCAGCCGCAGCGCCTCCAGCCGCAGCGCGCGGCCGGGCGTCCCTGCGGGAGGGGAAGGAGCAGGCTGGGCCCGGGGCTCCTGGCGCACCCCACCCGCTGCGAACGTCCACCCGAGAGGAGGGGCCTTGTCCTCTGCCCTGGCCATTCCTCCTCCCTGTCGTCCCCCAAATTCAGGGGGAGTCCTTCCTGGGGTCTACCCTCAACCCTTCCTGGTCATAACAAATACCTGCCTAACCTTCATTTTATTATATTCCCCCCAAGCCAGGGGGATGCAGGCCAGGCAGGAGCCAGCATCGCTGCAGAGAGGAGCCAGCTCAGAAGTCTCATTCGGCCAGGAAGAGACGGGACTGGTGACCATGGCCAGCAGGTGGTGGAAGTGACCGCTCCCCAGACTCCCAGGGGTCTCCCGAGGCTCTGAGGCTGACCGTTCACCCGGGCTGCCCCGGGGAAGTTCACGGCCCTTCTGCTAGCGCTCACCTGTGCTTCTCCACTGGTGTCCAGGCACTGGGCTGGGGTCAGAGATCTTACCCACCGGTGGACAGAGGCCCAGGCCGGCCAGTGCACCAACCCAGCCAGACCGCCTCCTCAGGGAACACCTACCAACCCCCAGTAGGACCCACCAGGCCAGAGCCCGACAGCACCTAAGGGCCTGGCCCCCAGTACTCACCCCCAAGAGGTTCCCAGAGGCAGGTCCTCGCTGAGGAAGTCACTCCTGCCAGCCAAGGAGAAGGGAGTGAGACTTGGGAGGGGCCGTTCCCTGCACCCCAGGACCGTGCCCTCCGCCCCAGGACTGTGCCCGGGCCCTGACACAGGGCCTGTTCATGGCATGTTGGATAAATGGACAAAGGGACCGGCAGTGGGAACCTGAGCCCACTCGCTGCACGTCCTCCCAGGGGCCTGGGTCTCCCCGGCTCCCTGCCGCCCCCTGTTCTGTGTCGCTGGGAGGGGAGCTGCCTCAGCACTTCCGGACAAGGAATCGGTTTTCTCAGCAGCCTTTGGAAGGCAGAGAATTTGTTCAACAAATATTATGTTAAAGCCAACATAATCCAAAAAGAGGAAGTCATCTGGTTAGTAATAAAGTAATAACAGCCCGGCCGGCGTGGCTCAGTGGTCGAGCGTCGACCGATGAACCAGGAGGTCACAGTTCGATTCTCGGTCAGGGCACATGCCCGAGTTGTGGGTTCCATCCCCAGTGTGGGGCGTGCACGAGGCAGCCAATCAATGATTCTCTTTCATCATTGATGTTTCTATATCTCTCTCCCTTTCCCTTCCTCTCTGAAATCAATAAAAATATATTTTTTAAAGAATAAAGTAATAGTAATAGATGACTTTGGACATATTACTTAACTTCTCTGTGCCTGAAAAAATGAGGAAAATTATATGACTTCATAAATGTAAAGTGTTTACAACAAATAGTACCTGGCAAGAGTAAGCACTGAATAAGTGGTAGCAATTAATTATTTACTTATTGTTTGGGTCTAATAGGTAGGGTGTTATATATAAGGTGATATATAGATATTAATCCTGGGTATATAGAGAGATATTAGCCCTAGGTGGTAGGGTGAATATATACACCTTAATATTTATCTCAATCCTAGGAGGGAAGAGGCATTATTACCTCGTGGAAGATGTGCATAGAGCCTAGATTTGAGTGAGATATCACAGTTGCAAATCCCAGGACTCAGGGCCCTCAGGTGGCCCTGCTCTGAGCCCAGGCACCCCTTCACCTAGTTGGTCGTCACTTGGACACCCTTCATGCCCCCATGGTCTGGGCCTGCCTCCCTTCCCACCAAATCCTGGTTCCAGGGCAAGTGAAAGGGGCAGGGGGCGTTTTGCCAGGGGGCGTTTTAAAGGCCCCAGGCTCTGTCCCCACCTGACAGCTGCAGGGGCTGTGTGCTCTGGCTGTGATCCCCAGCCCCAGGCCCGGTGTGACAGACCAAGGTTTCCCAGGATGCCAGCTCCTCCGAGGGCAGGGAGAGCTGGGCCACGCTAGTCCAGGTGCCATCTGCAGCTGGGGAAGGGCCGTAGGTGAAGGCGTCCAGTGCGCTGCCGTTGCCAGCTGAGAACCAGATGGGGCTCTCAAGGCCAGGGGGCGCGGCATCGAGGACCAGGCAGACCACCAGCACCTGCTGCTTCCCATCCACCTGCATCGTGATGGGTGGGGCCAGCGAGGGGAAGGGGGCGCCCCCCACACCTGTAAGAGAGCATGCTCCTGTGGGGGCCTAGATCTGTTCGTGCCCTCCCAGGCCAGCATCTCACTGTAGGCACCTAGGCTTCTATCTGTCCATTCACCATCCATCTGTCCCTCCATCCTCTCAACCACCCCTCTCTCCTTGCATTTTCCCTTCTAAACACCCTTCCTTCCCTCCACCCTGTCATTCACCTCTCTATTCATTCACTCTTTTTCTATCATCCATGTTTTCTACAGCTATTCTCTCTACTTTCCATCTATATGTCCATCTGTCCATCTGTCCATCCATCCATCCATCCATCCATCATCTTTCCATCATTCATCTATCATATCTGAACCTTTCTGTGCAAGGCATTAGGGATACAACATTAATTTACATACAACATTAAATTATATATAATAATTTATATATACACTAGAAGCCCGGTGCATGAAATTTGTGTATGGGGAGAGTCCCTCTGCCTGGCCTGCATCCTCTCCAATCCAGGATCCCTCTGGACCCTTGTGGGATCGGGCCTAAACTGGCAGTCGGACATCCCTCTTGCAATCTGGGACCATTGGCTCCTAACTGCTCGCCTGCCTGCCTGCCTGATCGCCCCTAACAGCCTCTGCCTGCCTGCCTGATCACCCCTAACCACCTCTGCCTTGGCCCCCACCACCGTGGCATTGTCTGGAAGACATCTGGTCTAATTAGCATATTACCCTTTTATTAGTATAGATTGTCCCCACTTTCAAAGAACTCAGTCTCATGGGAAACCAACACGCATAATACCTGGTTGTGCCAGCCTCAGGAGAGTGGTCGCCTCTGGGGAGGAAGGGAAGGAAACATGATCTGGAATGAGATTAAAGGGGCTTCAAATGTATCTGTAACTTTTTGATTCTTAAAACAATCTAGTTCAGCCTGACCAGCGGGGCTCAGTGGTTGAGCATCGACCAATGAACCAGGAGGCCACAGTTCAATTCCCGGTCAGGGCACATGCCTGGGTTGCGGGCTTGATCTCCAGTAGGGGGCATGCAGGGGGCATCTGATCGATGTTTCTCTCTCATCACTGATGTTTCTATCTCTTTCTCCCTCTCCTTTCCTCTCTGAAATAAATTAAAAAAATACATATTTTTAAAAATCTAGTTCAAATATGGCAGGATCATAACCATTTGTTAATCTGAGTGGAACATGGAAGGGTGTTGGTTGTGTCACCCACCCCAGGACATGCTTAGAGAGAGGAAGGGAGAGAAACATTGATGTGAGAAAAACAGCCTCGACCGGGGATTGAACCTGCAATCCAGGTAGATCTGTCCTTTATTTTCCAGAACAGTCCCAATTTTCCACAAACTTAGTCTTTTCAGTAAGGATGATTCATTCAATACATAACCGAATGTTATTTTTGAACAGTTGCATAGTTGCTCATAAAAACTAAATCTCAAAGGTTAAAACCTCCAAACAAATTAAAACTGTAAGTTAAGCCCTAGCTGGTTTGGCTCAGTGGATTTCAGTCAAGGGCGTGTACCTTGGTTGCAGGCTCAAACCCTGGGCCTGACCAGGGTGCATGCAGGAGGCAACCAATCGATATGTCTCTCTCACATTGATGTTTCTCTCTATCTCTTCCCCTCCTTTCCACTCTCTCTAAAAATCAATGGAAAAATATCCTCGGGTGAGGATTAACAAAACAACAACAACACACACACACACACATACACGCACACGCACATGCACACACACAAAAACCCCACAACAACTCTAAGGGTAGCCAGGCCAAAGAAATGCCCAGGGTGCGGGGACCTGTGCCAGGGTATTTTGTGGGGACGGAGGGGTGTGGAGTGCTCGCGTGAGATTTCTTGAGGGTCAGATAACTGACCTAGTAGCATGTGGATGGTTAGTAGCCCACTCAGGATTTGAGCTCAGATCTCGGTGACTCCAAGTCCCACATTTCACCCCACTTGGAAGGATGACTAAGATTTTGCTACGTGACAAAGTGGACCAAACCTGGGACGTGGCCTGGAATAGAGTTGGTTTGTCTCATGCACTTAATATACTGAGTCTCAATGGTCCCATCAATATAATGGGGTTAGTAACACCAGCCCCACAAAGTTATTGTGTAGAATAAAGTTCATGAATGTAAAACACATGGCAGATGAGTATTAGTATTCTTATCAATACTATCATTAATAAGGTATCACAAACAAAGGAGGTAGAGAAGGCTGGGAGTGGGCTCCAGGAACCACAGCTCCTGAGCCTTCGCAGTTGCACGGGTAGAGACACTCCCCAAGGAAGTTAAGCATCTGCCTCCTCCACAAAGCCTCCCAGGATTGCTCCTCCTTGCCCTGGCTGTGTCCTTCCCAGAGCTCCGTCTCCTGCCCTGCTCCACATGCGTATGCTTGGCCTCCTTAGGAGGGGGAGCTGTGCCACACTGGGTCAGCTTTAGCTCAAGGAGATGTCTTGATTCAAAGGTCAAGGACTCCCTCCCCCCTCCCCCCTCACCCCCCCAAACATGCAAATATGCACAGGCTAATGAAGCTGTAATTCTTACAATTCTAGTCCTTTTTAAAAAAAAAAAAGTATTTTATTGATTTTATACAGAGAGGAAGGGAGAGAGATAGAGAGTTAGAAACATTGATCAGCCACCTCCTGCACATCTCCCACCGCCTCCTGCACATGCCCGCAACCCAGGTACATGCCCTTGACCGGAATCGAACCTGGGACCTTTCAGTCTGCAGGCCGACGCTCTATCCACTGAGCCAAATGGGTTTCAGCCAATTCTAGTCCTTTGGTTCCAGCCTTGATCGTTGGAGGCCTGGGGGTACATACACCCGGAAGTCACTGAGGCCTTGGGACTTCTCCAGAGAGCCCATTGATAAGGGGGAACACTGAACCCTGGTGGAAAGGGCACCCCGAGGGCAGGAGACCTGGACAGGAAGGGCAGGAGGGGACCCCACAATATTGCCCAGGTCCCATCACTCCATATCACATAACAGCCCTGGCTCCTCCACCCGACCCCCATGGACACCCAGCCAGCTTGCTTTGTTTCTCTACACCTCCAAGAGGTGACTACTCCCTACCAACACTGTGGACCCCAGGGGAGCAGGACTCGGGCCCCAGAACCAGGTAGCTGGGAGGTAGAGTGCAGTGGGGAAGGGAAGATGGGCTTCTGGTGAGACCCTCCCCAGAGGCCCCAGAGCCTCTGTTCTGCCTCCCTGCATCTCACCCACACCGGGACGCCCAGAGGGAGAGGGGGGTTTGGGGCAGACAAATGGGGCACAGAGAGAGAAGCAGGGAGGGAACTCACCTGTGGGCAGGGCTGGACACCCGAGGGCCAAGAGAAGCAGCAGCCAAGCCCCGGCCATGGCCCATTCGATAGGAGGCAGGTCACAGCTGCAGACCTGAGGTGTGGGCCGGGGGAGCAGGCACCCACAAGGCTGCCTCCCAGGCCGCAGGCCCAGCTGCATCTCAGCTGCTCCACCGCGGAGCCGTTTCCCTCCAGAGGGGCCCCTCCCACTCCACCTGGGCCCCCAAACCCCATCCTCTCTCATGGGCCAGGGAACTCCGGCTGCCACTCCCACAGCAGGAGCTGGGTGCCCACACTCCCTCCCCATCACTGGCCCTGCCATCTGGAGGACGCAGAGCACAAGGCTGTATGTCAAGGGCTTCATTCACAGCACTTCATCCCATCCCCCTCACCACTGTGAGTTCCATGTCACAGGTGAGGCGACTGAGGCCCAGGGCGATTGAGGGACCTGCCCAAGGCCACCCAGCTGGCAGGTGGCAGAGCCAGGGCTGGAACTCTTCCTGATGGCTGGCCCCAAAGCCCCATAAACTTGTTTCCATGTTACACTGCCCCTTTGAAATAGAATTTATTTTTTTAGAACAACTTCAAGTTCACAACAACATTGAGCAGAAGGTTCAAAGATTTCCCATGTATTCCTTGCACTATCAAGTAAAACCCCTTAAAAAAATAAACTTATATAAATGCCATTTGCAGCAACTCCACTAAACTTGAGCTAGGTATCATTTTGATCCTAAAACTTCCCATCTAGGTATATTCCCTAATGAAATAATAAGAGAGTTGGTCATTGTAAGATTTATGCACAAAAATACTCTTTGAAATATTACACTTACAACACAAGAGCAGGCCCTGGCTGGTGGTGTTCAATGGTCAGAGCGTTGGCCCGAGCATGGAGGGGTCGAGAGTTCAATTCCCGGTCAAGGGCACATACCTGGGTTGCAGGTTCGATCCCTGGCCCTGATCAGGGTGCATTTGGGAGGCAACCAGTGCCTCTCTCACGTTGATTTTTCTTTCTCCTCCCTTGCTCCCTCTCCCTCCCACTCTCTAAACAGCAATGAAAATAAAGGGGACATATATAATACTTTCAGCAATAAAGAACTATTCAAAAAAATAAAAGTAATGTATATTTTAATTTCCATTGTAAGATTAATTGGATTTGAGGGAAGCAACTTTATTTGGGGGGAAGAGTAGAGTTACTAGAATTTTATCAATTTCCTCATAAAAAAAGGGAAATGAAAAAATATCTGGTGGTGGAGGGGGGAGGATTAACAAAAGACAAAAACAAAAGCGAGAGCAATTATAAACAACCCAGTTGCTCAATGCCAGGGGAAGAGTTAGACTAACTCATCTTTGGCATATTTATGTTAGTCAATATTATGCAGCAGCTTTTCAAATCATGTTTTCACAGAATGTTTAGTGACATGGGATGTAGAAGAGAGTTTGCTTCAGAGTGTGGGCTGTGAAGGCAGACCACCTGGCTTTCCACCCGGACTAGGTCATTCAGGAGTTGTGTGACTTGCACCAAACTACTTAATTCCCTAATTCTCAATTTCCTCCTGTACAATGAGGGTGGTAATACCTCAGAGGGGTCCTGTGATACGTAAAGAAGATAAACCACGAAGGGGATTTAGCGCCGTTCCTTATACAGCAAGTCTTTGAACCACGGAGTTTCGCTCCATGTTGTTTCCTTATAACACCGATGAGGAAATAAAATCGGTTCCTGGCGGGGCTGCTCTCTGTGAGGAGTTTGCACGGTCTCCCCGCATCTGGCTGGGTTTTCTCCAGGGACTCTGGTTCCTCCCACCTCCCAAAGAGGAGGTGAATTGAGGATCTACATCGGCCCCAGTCTGAGTGAGTGTGGGAATGGGTGTGATGGAAGGGTGTCCTGTCTAGGGAGGTGTCCTGTCCTCCTGGGCCAGGGCTGCTGGGGTGGACTCCGACCACCTGTGACTCTGAACTAGAAAAACTGGGTTGGAAAATAATTACTTTATTTGTTTTTCTTCTCCTTCTCCTTCTTCTTCTTCTTCTTCTTCTTCTTCTTCTTCTTCTTCTTCTTCTTCTTCTTCTTCTTCTTCTTCTTCTTCTTCTTCTTTTTTGAAGTTTAGGAAGTGTTTTCTGTGAGTTTTTTAAAATTTTTATTAAATCTTTATTGTTCAGATTATTACAGTTGTTCCTCTTTTTTCCCCCCATAGCTTCCCTACACTAGGTTCCCACCCCACCTTCTGCCCTTACCCCCCTCCCCACTGTCCTCATCCATAGGTGTACGATTTTTGTCCAGTCTCTTCCCGCACCCCCACACCTCTTCCCCCCCACCCCCCGAGAATAGTCAGTCCACTCCCTTTCTATGCCCCTTGATTTTTAGATTCACTTGTTGATAGATGTGTATTTGTTGTTCATAATTTGTATCTTTACCTTTTTCTTCTTCTTGCTCTTCTTAAAGGATACCTTCCAGCATTTCATATAATCCTGGTTTGGTGGTGATGAACTCCTTTAGCTCTTCCTTATCTGTGAAGCTCTTTATCTGACCTTCAATTCTGAATGATAGCTTTGCTGGATAAAGTAATCTTGGTTGTAGGTTCTTGGCATTCATCACTTTGAATATTTCTTGCCACTCCCTTCTGGCCTGCATAGTTTCTGTTGAGAAATCAGCTGACAGTCGTATGGGTATTCCCTTGTAGGTAAGTGATTGTTTTTCTCTTGCTGCTTTTAAGATTCTCTATTTGTCTTTTGCTCTTGGCATTTTAATTATGATGTGTCTTGGTGTGGTCCTCTTTGGATTCCTTTTGTTTGGGGTTCTCTGCACTTCCTGGACTTGTAAGTCTATTTCTTTAACCAGGTAGGGGAAGTTTTCTGTCATTATTCCTTCAAATAGGTTTTCAATATCTTGCTCTCGCTCTTCTTCTGGAACCCCTATAATTCAGATGTTGGTACGCTTGAAGTTGTCCCAGAGGCTCCTTACACTATCTTCATATTTTTGGATTCTTTTTTCTTTTTGTTTTTCCGGTTGGGTGTTTTTTGCTTCTTCATATTTCAAGTATTTGACTTGATTCTTGCAATCCTCTAGTCTGCTGTTGGAACTCTGTAAATATTCTTTATTTCAGTCAGTGTATGCTTAATTTCTAGTTGGTCCTTTTTCATAACCTCAAGGGTCTCGCTAGATTTCTTGAGGATCTCACTAAATTTATCGGTGGTTTCTAGAAAATTCTTGAAAAACCTTAAAAGTGTGGTTTTGAACTCTATATCCAGTCATTTTTTCCCTCCATTTCTGTCATTTGTGACCTGTTTCTTTGTCTCCACATTTTTTATGCTTCCCTGTGTTGGTAGAGTGGCTTTCTGTGCTAGGTGTCCTATAGGGCCCAGTGGCTCAGCCTCCCCAGTTACCTGAGGTGGACACTCTCTGTGCACCCTTTTGTGGGCTTTGTGCACAGTCTTGTTGTAGTTAAGCCTTGATTGTTGTAGGTATCACTGGGAGGAATTGACCTCCAGGCCAATTGGCTGTGAGAATCAACTGTGTCTACAGTGGGAGAACTTCTGAGCTGGAGACACCCTTCTGGGGCAAGACTTGCTTCAGTGTGGCTTTGGTGCTCACTGAGTCTGCCCCTGAATGTGTTCCTTATGGATCTAAGGAGTTATAATCTGGATGGTCCCACTATGACCACTGGGTACACTGGCTCTTGGATCTCTAAGGAGGTGCTAATTTAGCCTCTGCGCGAGGCTACCCAGCAGGAGCTATGGAGAGATCTGCAGATTCCTCTTCTTTGTTTGGGATTTGGAGGTGCCCAGATGAGGCCCAGCTGTGAAGCAATGCAAGGCTGCTGTGGGGCCTTGGGCCTTCTTTTGGATGTTCTGGGTCTCTCTGACCCAGTTTCAGTTTGTTAGGTAATTTTCAGATTGCAAAGGGCCAGGCCATTCATATGCAAAAGCCTCTGTGCACAGCTTGGGTGGGGCGGGGTCTCAGGGAATCAACAGGGTGGAGCAAACAGTTATGGCTGATCCTCAGCCCTGCCCTAAGAGGCCCCGGGTCTCAGTGTCCTGAGGTAATCACGGTAATTGCTGCAAGCACCTCTGAGAGAAAGCAGCCCTGGAGTTCTGACCGATGCCAGACAGTCCAGTTTCTCCCCGTATGAGTCTGGGTCCTCAGATACTTGCCCAGAATTGGAGTTCAGAGCAGTTGGGAGCTTGTGTCTCCCTCCCGATTGAAAAAGACAACCGAGTCCTCAGTTGCCAGCCCTTTCCAAGTGAGCCTCCGTACTTCTGCACTTTACTTCCGCACTTCCTCTAAGTCTCAGTGTGCTTTTCTCTTTCCTTCTAGTTTTAAACTGTATATCCAGTAGTTTGCTTTCCTTCATTTCTGTCACTTGTGACTTGTTTCTTTGTCTCTGCATCTTTTATGCTTCCCTGTGTTGATAGAGTGGTTTTCTGTGCTAGGTGTCCTATAGGGCCCAGTGGCTCAGCCTCCCCAGTTACCTGAGGTGGACACTCTTGGTGCACCCCTTTGTGGGCTTTGTGCACAGTCTTGTTGTAGTTAAGCCTTGATTGTTGTAGGTATCACTGGAAGGAATTGACCTCCAGGCCAATTGGCTGTGAGAATCAGCTGTCTGCAGTGGGAGAACTTCTGAGCTGGAGACACCCTTCTGGGGCAAGACTTGCTTCAGTGGGGCTTTGGTGCTCACTGAGTCTGCCCCCTGAGTGTGTCCCTTATGGATCTGAGGAGTTGTAATCTGGATGATCCCACTCTCACCACTGGGTACACTGGCTCTTCGATCTAAGGAGGTGCTAATTTAGCCTCTGCCTGAGGCTACCCAGCAGGAGCCCAGCTGTGAAGCAATGCAAGCTGCTGTGGGGCCTTTTGGAAGTTCTGGGTTTCTCTAACCCAGCTGCAGTTTGTTAGGTAATTTTCAGGTTGCAAAGGGCCAGGCCTTTCATATGCAAAAGCCTCTGTGCACAGCTTGGGTGGGGTGGGGTCTCTGGGGATCAACAGGCAGACAAGCAGCTATGGCTGCTCCTCAGTCCTACACTAAGAGGCCCCGCTTCTCAGTGTCTCAGTAATCGCTGCAAGTA